AGGTAACTCATACAGGTAAACCCGAAAGAAAAAATTCTTTCGAAACAAATACTTCTATATGAACACTGAATTATACACTAGATACTTCTCTCTACTCAATTTGTATTTAAAGCATTCGTTGTGGAATAAAAATGTTCCACTTCAAATGAATGGTAACAAATTGCACTTACATGGAACACTGGCATCCTCACTGGTATACATTGATGTTTCGCCTTAAGACACTTGCCCTTAGGCTCTTCAGTACCGAATTGGATAACATTATAGAAAATACACACACTTCATTCATGAATTACGCTTTTTTTTTGTATCAAGATGGAGTAGTAGAAAGCCAAAAACTGTCTTTCCCAAAAACATTTATTAACTATTTTCAATCAAAATAAGCGCCATTTGTCAATTTGTCAACGTAACACAAATCAAATAAAGTATTCATTGCACATAATCATTACTGTATATAAGTAATTAATGACAAAGTAATAATAAAAAAATAAATATAATGTAAAAAACTTAAAAACAGTATTCACAAAGTTCCAAAAATATTTAGTGTTAGATGCTATGTTATTTTCAACTGTTTTAATGTAATTTTCATAACCTACTTTGCGTGCTGATTTTAGGATTGAGATCCGGGGATCGAGCGGGCCAGTTCTGTGGTCCTCCTCGACCAAACCACTGATTTGCATATGTTGATAAGGCTTACGTCAAAAATATGGCCTGATTTCATTTTTTGCACACATGATCAATGTAAGTCTCCCAAGACAAGGTTTTATCTAAGTACATAGTCAGCTAGAGAGTCTCGTGCTTTATTGTCATAAAAGTTTAGGTTTTGTTGAGAAAGCAGGCTTAAGAACTAAAACAATCTGAAATTCAACAGTAAAGTGAAGGTCAAGATTCATCACAAAATATAGATAGATAGATAGATAGATAACTGGTGGTATATCGTCTATAACCTGTTTGGGAGCACCTATGAAAAAATTATTGAACAGATTTGCAATGTCATCAGGACAGGAGATTTCTTTATTTTCA